GTGTAGAGGATACAGAGGGTGAGTTACACCTGGCCTGAGAAAGAAAAAGTGTTGATAAGCCTAGGCGCCAAAAGATGAAAGACTACCCAGATATGGAGGAAGGAACTGGGGAAACGCTTTTAGGGTAAGACACATATTCTCATCATGCCATTTCCCACCATCCTTTCATAAAGAAAACAGGGAAAGAGGAAGTTATATGCAAACTTTCTGACCATGTAACACTGAACATCCACATATACAGCAAGTTAACAGTGCTTCTAGATCTGCTCCTAGTTTAATAATTTAGAGGTTGCAAACACAGAGTGAAAATATTACACTAAGGATTGGCAAAACCATCATAGAAGACTTCTCGACGCTCAGAGCACAAGCTAAAGTGACTCTGCCATAGAAGAAATATCGTTCTTTAAGAATCAAAGTGTGTTTGTATTTCCTTAAGAAATTAGGAATTAAAACTCCCTGCAGTTGAGGATTAGCTGTAAGACAGCTTTCACAGAACAATCCATGTCCATACTGGTGCTTCCTTAAAGGAATAGTCCTGCTTTTTCTGATATACTCCTTTCTGGGGCAAGGAAAACACATTAGTGACCAGAAATTCTGCAAAGAAAAGACTTTATTCAAAAAGTGTAAAGGAATAAGTATGAAATAACATTGAATCAAAAAAAAAAAAAAGTGTTTTTTGTACTAAGAGCCACTTAGAAATACAGCACCCCTGCTGCACAGGTCTATTTTCAACACTAATGCCCTTTCCATAATTTTCCATTTCCTATGTGGATTTGTGTTATGTAAATGGTCTCTCATTCAGAAGCAGAACTGAGCAACAGAAAATGACGCAGCGTGTCTAAAACTATAGACGTGCAAAATGTACACATACCAGGAAGAAGCAACTAAGTGGGAGGTAATGGTTTACTCTTCAAGTTACACCATCGATGTCGAGATGTACACCTTCTCCCTGCTTCCCTTCAGAAGCAAAAAGCTAGCCTTTTCCAGAAGAGCTTCTCATCCTGAGAACTGCCTTCTTTAAAACTTCTGAAGGAGGCACTTTTTCAAGGTCTTATTTCACTTTGTCCTTCCTCAGCTCTACACTCCACAACCAGTCTAACAATTC